TGAAGCCAAAGGAAGGGAAATTTGTGAGTCAATTTCCTACTAGCCTCAGTTTGCAAGACCACTGGTCAAGCATGTGGAAATTATAATCCAAAAGCCTCTGAAGGGTCACAGTTTTCCCGTCTCTGTGTGACATTTTTTCTTGTGGGAAATACAGATGCAGCAAATGCAATGCGGGTGTGGAGTGTCGTGTGGTCCTCACACCGAGCCAAAGCTTTTAGTTGCCCCCTCACCTCCCTCCTGTGTACTATGATATTGTTCAGTCTGTGCATCCCGTTTCTTACTTCCTGGGAACTTTCCAACAGCCTAACCTGTAACTCATCCCACAATTCTCCTAGGAAGGCACCCTCAATCTCCTGTCCTTCTCGCAAAACCAGCTCCATCCATGACAAGCTATTGCTACAGAGCATCCACTCAGTGGTTAATACACTAACCTGACTTGTTTTCCTAAGCCTTCAGCTACCGAATGAGGACAAGAAAGGGAGAGAGGATCTTGCATTTCTGGTTCCCAAAACACGTCTCAGGCTCAGTTTGTCTCCCTTCCCTGCAGCTCTTCTGAGAAGGGCAAGTAAGGATAGGATGGAAGGCTGCCCTTGGAGAGAGTAAAAACAAAAAACAAACTGACATCTTAGAACTCTGTGGACAATTAAACCCCAAGTCTTCCCATAGTCCAAGGACACCCCGCCAAGCACTACAAAATGCTAAGTGGAGGAGGAGGGAGGGAGGGAGGGAGGGAAGGAGACCTTCTCCATAGCAAACGCTGGAAAACATTGACACAGAGCTTGCTGTCATCATCCAGCTCAGATTTTGGGAAATGCCTTCTGAGTGACTGCAGCACAAGAGAAGGATTCCCCGGGATGCACTGCTTGCTGTATATGATTTAACTCTGCTAAGAAATGACTGTGTCAATGGGAAGTTGCTTTGTAGAAACAGGAATCGGTTAGGAGGGAAATGCTGTTTCCATTGCAGTGTCGAAAAGGGGAATAGGAGAAAATTTTCAACTGGGATTTTCAGAGGGAAAATTGCTACATATTAACAGATGGCATGTAGCTAGTTCATCTTTCCTTAATTGTCAGAAATTTTGGAGATTTCCTTTAGACATGATGCTGCTTTTATCTTTTGTATTGTCAAACGTTTTCATGGCTGGAATCACTGGAGTGTTGTGGGGTTTCCGGACTGGATTGCCGTTCTCCTAAGGAGAATATGCTGCTGAACACAGGGCCATACAGCATGGAAACCACACAACACTCCACCTTCTATCTCTTGCTTTTTAACATGGAATTTTTAAATTTTTTTTAATTATCTAGAGTACATTCAGTGCTATTTAAATAAAGTTTTTATATTTGTTATCTTCAGAGTTTTACTTCTGTTTGTTTTTTAAATCCCATAATCCGCTCTTAGTCACAGCTTTCGGTAAAGGCAGTGTATAAATAAAGTAATACAATACGATAGAATTTGGGGAAACACTCCAGGATAAGATTGAGAGGCCTTGCCTCTTCAGGAGGCTCCATAAAATGTGTCTGGAAGCTCCATAAAATTCCAGCAATAAGGGTTTTTTTGTGTGTGTCAGGAGTGACTTGAGAAACTGCAAGTTGCTTCTGGTGTGAGAGAATTGGCCGTCTGCAATTACATTGCTGAGGGGATGCCCAGATGTTTTACCATCCTGTGGGAGGCTTCTCTCATGTCCCCGCATGAAAAGCTGGAGCTGACAGACGGGAGCACACCCTGTTTCACAGATTCAAACCGCCAACCTTCCGGTCAGCAGTTCAGCCGGCACAAGGGTTTAACCCATTGTGCCACCGGCAGCTTCATATCAATAAGATGCAGTGGTTGCACAAGAAAAGCTGGGCTCCACAGCACCCCAAAGGTACAACATGGATATTTGATTAGGTGTGGTGCAGCAGGTTAAATTGCTGAACTGCTGAATTTGCTGACCGAAAGATTGGCAGTTCAAATCCGGGGAACGAGTTGAGTTCCTGCTGTTAGCCCCAGCTTCTGCCAACCTAGCAGTTTGAAAACATGCAAATGTGAGTAGATGAATAGGTACCGCTTCTGCAGGATGGTAACAGCGCTCCATGCAGACATGCCAGCAACATGACCTTGGAGGCATCTATGGACAACACCGGCTCTTTGGCTTAGAAAGGGAGATGAGCATCACCTTTACCAGGAGCCCCCGGTGGTGCAGTGGGTTAAACCCTTGTGCCGAGACAGGTGGCAGGTTTGAATCCGGGGAGAGGCGGATGAGCTCCCTCTATCAGCTCCAGCTCCTCATGCGGGGACATGAGAGAAGCCTCCCAGAAGGATGATAAAAACATCAAATCATCCAGGCGTCCCTGGGCAACGTCCTTGCAGATGGCCAATTCTCTCACACCAGAAGCGACTTGCAGTTTCTCAAGTCGCTCCTGACATGATAAAAAAATCACCTTTACCTTAGCTTATACTGTATTTCTCTTTAGGAGCCCCTGGTGGCACAGTGCATTAAACTGCTGAGCTACTGAACTTGCTAACCTAAAGGTCACAGGTTCAAATATGGGGAGCAGCATGAGGTTCCACTGTTAGCCCCAGCTTCTGCCAACCTAGCAGTTTGAAAACATGCAAATGTGAGTAGATCAATAGGTACCCCTCTGGCAGGAAGGTAATAGCACTCCATGCAGTCATGGCGGTCACATGACCTTGGAGGTGTCTTTGGACAACATTGGCTCTTTGGCCTAGAATTTGAGATGAGCGTCACCCCCCCCCAAAATCGGACAGGACTAGACTTAATGTCAAAGGGAAAACTTTATCTTTACTTACATTTCTGTTTGGACACCTTTAAATTCATGTTTCCATTAGATTCAAATACAAAGCTTTAAAATAAAAAGAGCACATGCCTGGAAGCATAGGGTGCTTCCACACGGTAGAATGAACGCATTTTGAGACCACTTCACTTGCCAGGACTCAGTGCTATGGAACCATGGGATTTGGAGGCACCTGCTCTCCTTGGCAGAGAAGGCGAAAGATCTGGCGGAGCTGCAACTTCCAAGCTTCACTGGCGTTGAGTTGTGGTAGTTAAAACGGTCTCAAAGTGCATCAATTCCATAGTGTAGAGATGCACCCCCCAGATGGAAGTAATTCTCCCTCCCACCGGCAGACTTCCAGGAGCAGAAGCCTGGGCTCCTCTAAAGAGGGCTGCCTGGAAGATTGGTCCAGGGCCAGGAAAGTGCCTGCCAGGCTGGCTCTGGGCGCTGGAAATCGTGCCACTGCCATGACTTGGCAACAAGCCCTCGCGTTGCCTGACGCACAAGGCCTCCGCCACGGACCGGGCAGCAGGGCGGAAAGCGCGCCCCCTCCTGGCCCTTCGCTTCCTTGACCCCCCCCCCCCCCCCCGGCCCCGCTCTCCCCGCCTGGCTCCAGCATTCAAAGAACAACGGTGCCTTCTAAGAAATCCCAACGACTAACTGGCAAGTCTGCTGCAAGGGGCGGGCAAGAGAGAACAATGGCCAGCGGGGGATGGTGGGAGTTGGAGTCCCAGGAAGAGCGGATGAGGGAGCTGGCTGTGTTTACCTTTCAGAAAACAAGGCTACGAGGAAAACACTGAAAGGATGTCACATTGAGGAAGGGGCAAGCAGAGTCCTAGAGTTGGGAGAGACCTCGTGGGCCATCCAGTCCAACCCCCCTGCCAAGTAGCAGGGAAACCGCCCTCAAAGTATCCCCGACAGATGGCCATCCAGCCTTTGCTTAAAAGCCTCCAAAGAAGGAGCCTCCACCACACTCCGGGCAGAGAGTTCTACTGCTGAACTGTTCTCACCGTTAGGAAGTTCTTCCTAATGTTCAGGTGGAATCTCCTTTCCTGTAGTTTGAAGCCATTTTTTCCTGCTGCTCTGAAGACAAACTGGAGCAATGGGTTCAAACTGCAGGAAAAGAGATTCCACCTAAACATGAGGAAGAACCTCCTGACAGTAAGAGCTGTCGGACGGTGGAATAGGCCGCTGCCTTGGAGTGCAATGGAGGCTTTGAAGTAGACCCTGAGTGGCCATCTACCGGGAGTGATTTGATTATGTACTTCCCCATAGCAGACTGGGTTTGGGGTGGCGGGTCCTTGTGCATTCTTCCAGCTCGGGAGAAGTTGAAGTGGTCATCTGCTGGGAGTGATTTGTGTACCTTTCAATAGCAGACGAGTTGGGGTGGCTGGCCTTGTGCATTCTTAACCAGCTCGGGAGAAGCAGGAGTGGCAATCTACCGGGAGTGATTTGATTGTGTACTTCTCCATGGCAGACTGGGGTTGGGGTGGCGGGCCCTTGTGCACTCTTAGCCAGCTTAGGAGAAGCCGGAGTGGCCATCTGCCGGGAGTGATTTGATTGTGTACTTCTCCATAGCAGACTGGGGTTGGGGTGGCGGGCCCTTGTGCACTCTTAGCCAGCTTAGGAGAAGCCGGAGTGGCCATCTGCCGGGAGTGATTTGATTGTGCATTTTTCCAGGGTGGCGGGCCCTTGAGCATTCTTAACCAGCTCAGGAGAAGCTGGGGTGACCATCTTCCGGGAGTGATTTGATTGTGTACTTCTCCAGGGTGGGTGGCCCTTGTTCATTCTTCCAGTTCTGTGAGACTAAGCTTGGGGGGAAGGCAGGGCTAAGAGGTGGAATCCAAGAGATCAGGAGCTCGGAGTGGCCCTCGGGGTCTCTTCCAGGAGTAGGACTGTGTGTGTCGCTTTCCCCGTCCAGGGCCTGCCTTGACCGGGGCGCGAGAAAGCGGGGCGGGGGAGCTCCATCCCTTTCCCGATCCCTGGTCCCGAGGAAGCGGGCAGGGCAGGGCAGGGCAGGAGGGGAAGGGAGGGAGGGAGGGAGGGAAGGCGGCTCCTTTGCCAGGAATGGGCCGGCCTGCCTGCTGCCTGCCTGGCGAGGAGCCTATTCGCCTGCCTGGCTGGCTGGCGGGCTGGCGGTGGCGCGCGGGCCCTGCAGGCCGAGGCGGGGCGTGGCCTTACAAGAAGCAGCCCACTTCCAGGAACCAGGAACCAGGGGGCGGGGCGGGGCGCGCGGGCAGGCGGAGGCGCCCATAAAAGCCTCTGCCGGCGTCTCCGGCAGCTTTGCAAAAGCAGGACGAGTCAGGCTCGGCGAGAAGAGCCACTGCTGCTGCTGCCCACTACTACTCCTACTACTACTAAGCAGCGAGACAAACTCCGCGACCACGACGACGTCGCCTCCGCGCCGCTCTCGCTCTCCAGGTAGGTATTCCTGGCGTGGAAAGGGGAAGGAGAACGAGGCGGATGAGAAGAGAGAGCCCGCGGTTGGGGAGGGGAGAAGAGGTGGCCCTCTTGGCTCAAGGGCATGCAGGTGGTAGCGACCACATCGGGGAAGACCTTAGGGCAGGCAGAGGTGCCCTCCTCCTCCTCCTCCTCCTCCTCGAGAAGCAGCTCCTGGCTTGCTCCTTTTGTCTGCTAACCTTGCCTGCCTTTCCTTCCTTTCCAGAGACCTCCGCACCCTTCTCTTGGCCCCTGCTGCGCTCCAGAGCAGCCCCGACCGGTCGGAAAGCTGGCTCCCTGCGCCATGGTCACCCACCGAAAGTTCCCCAGCGCCGCCGGGATGAGCCACCCGCTGGACACCAGCCTGCGCCTCAAGACCTTCAGCTCCAAGAGCGAGTACCAGCTGGTGGTCAACGCGGTGCGCAAGCTGCAGGAGAGTGGCTTCTACTGGAGCGCGGTGACGGGTGGGCAGGCCAACCTGCTGCTCAGCGCCGAGCCCACCGGCACCTTCCTCATCCGCGACAGCTCGGACCAGCGCCACTTCTTCACCCTCAGTGTCAAGACCGAGTCGGGCACCAAGAACCTGCGCATCCAGTGCGAGGGGGGCAGCTTCTCGCTCCAGAGCGACCCCCACAGCAGCCAACCCGTCCCCCGCTTTGACTGCGTCCTCAAGCTGGTCCGCCACTACATGCCACTTCCCGAGCACCAGCCCACAGTGCAGCACCCCGGGGAGGTGTCGCGCCCCAAGCGGGCCTACTACATCTACTCCGGGGGAGAGAAGATCCCCTTGGTGCTGAGCCGCCCGCTCTCCTCCAACGTGTCCACCCTGCAGCACTTGTGCCGCAAGACGGTCAACGGGCACTTGGACTCCTACGAGAAGATGACCCAGCTCCCGGGTCCCATCAAGGAATTCCTGGACCAGTACGACGCACCTTTCTGAGGAGCATCCTTCTCTCCACATAACGGGAAGCAAGGAGGAGGAGGAAGGAGCCTGTGACACAAGCACAAGAGGGAAAGGAGGAGAAAGGAGATCGATGTACAACAAAGATGACATTTCTTTTTGGCCCGGCTGATGGAATACGTGAGGGGCTGCAGTGGGGAGGGGAATGCTGCGGGTTCAAAGAGGGCAAGGCTCCTCTGCCCAGCGGAGAGCGACTGCCCCACTGTTTTTTGTGTTGGATGGTTTTCCATGGGTTGCTTTGTGCAAGAGGGAGAGAAAGAAAGAGAGAGAGCGATGCTGCTGGACTAAGGAACAGGTTGCTGCTCCTTGAGATCACTGCCTGCCTGGCTTGCGCTGGGAGGAGAGAATGGTTTGCAAACTTCGTTACCCAATGGACCGTTTACAAGGAGCTTTTGCTCTGCACTGGCCCCACACCTTCTCTAACAACCTCTGACCAAAACCATTCTGCAGATAACGGAATAGATGCACTGGGATCCAGCTAGTGCCTGAAAACCAACTTTTCCTCCGTTTTAAGAGGAACCCTTTTCCAAGCCTTTACCTCTCTCGACCTCCTGGAGAGGCAGAATTTCCCCTTCCTCCAAACCTCTTTCCCGGAGGACGCTGCCACACATGAGACTAAGCCTTAAGAAGAAAAAAAGACGAGTACCCTCCTCTTATCCCATGGACTGACTTCTTACTGCACATCTCGCACAGAAAGATTGTCACTCCCTTTCTGTGTCATTATGCAAGCAAAGGAGGACATCCTTCTGAGAAATCACATCACTGCTTTTGAAACAATGACGTGGATGAGAAATGAACTAGCAGTGTTATTCTACCTGAGCATCTTCTGCCTGGACTGATAATCTTCTGCCTTCATCCATGGGTTTTCAGATGAATTGGCTTGCATCTACAGCAAAGGCTGTCAATTTGTTTGGGTCCTAAATCGCACTGAATAACTGAAAGAAAGCAAAACAGGAATGTAGCAACAACAGAATTACCTGGAACTCTCATATCATTATTTTTTTGTAAAACTGTAATCCAACTTTTGTGTGTTCATCTTATTTTTTCCCCATATCAGGGTTTTAGAAGGGCAGATGAGGTTTTGTTTTTATAGAAAGAAATGTTTACAGACCTGCCTAAAACAATATCGTTCTGTCTTTTATAAAGATTCCACCCTTCAGCCTTGCAGGCTGCTAGACATGCTTGAAGACTCAACCAAAAATCAAACTTGGAAGAAAACTTTGCACATCTATTTATATTTATATTCAAGGGATTTTAAAAGAAAACATTCATTAATTTATAATAAAAAGCACTATTTTTTAAATGAAACTCTCCTTTTCTTCTTCCATTTTGTGCCGTTCCCATACAGTTCAATGTTATGTGACCCTGGACCTGTTTATGCAGTACTAGAAAAGCAGAGGAAATATCTGGGTCAGAAAACTGCATGCAGCAGTCAGGCAGCTACGCTCCCATTGGTTTCTCAGTGTTAAGCAGCTGTGCAACTAGGTCACGCAAAAGCGAATATGACATTTGGTGTAAGAGAAGGAAATTCTCATGCTAGTGCTGCCTAGAAACATATCAAATCACAGTTTAGCCTAATCCCTAATGACTGAGGGTTACTTCATACTAGCAGTGTTGACCAGGCATAGGCAAACCTAGGCCTCCGGGCTGGATGTGGCCCTTTGGGCTCTTTTCTCAGGCCCTCCTCTCTCACACCATCTTATTTTTCTTTCCTTCTCACTCCCTCCTCTGCCTCCATTCTCTTCCGTCCTTCTCTTCCACTCTTCCTCCTTTCCCCCTGGGGGATGTTTAGCTGGGAGAAGAGAGGGAACATGAGAACCATGTTTCGAGATTTAAAACAGTGTCCCATTGAGGAGGAGGGGGAAAACTCATTTTCTGCTGCTTTAGAGACTAGGGCAAAAGGGAGCAAAGAAATTTGACTGAAAAGATCAGGAAGAATTTCCTGGAGAGTGGCATAGGCTGCCTGGGAGTGTGGTGGAGCCTTCTTCTCTGGAGGCTTTTCCGTAGAGGCTGGCTATCGGGAGTGCTTTGATTGTGCCTTCCTGCATGGCAGAAGGTTGGACTGGATGGCCCTTGGAGGCCTCTTCCACCTCTAGGGTTCTATATCAGGCAACATGGGGTCACTTTTTATCTCCTGTCCACCATCTCATCCTGACCAAGACCAACTCTTTCGGGATCCAAACATTTCCTGTCTTTCCTTCACTTTCTGCCCCCAAAAGGAAGGGGAGGAAAGGGCAGGAAGGGGGCTTGGGATGAACCCCCTCCCTCCCAGCCCACCCACACTGCTTCGGCCCGCCAAGCAACCCCCAAGTTAGAAAGTTTGCCCATGCCTGGTTTAGAGGGTAATTTTGAGGAAGAATTAATATAATTGTTATGCTGCAGCCATGTAACTATGTAAACAGATGTGTGAGAGATACTTCTCTGCAACCCAAAGCCGCCACCTCTTACTGCTGCTTATGGTTGGTTTTGGCATGTCGTTATATTAATTCTTAAATACCACTTTTCAAGTTTTGCTTTCTACTGATATACCTGGTTATGTCAAAGAAAGCATGTGGTTTGCAACTAAAGAACAGCTGCCCACAGTTATCTGCTTAGGCGGTGAGCAGGAGAGATGCCTTTTTTCATTTCTTCTACTTTACCAAAAGTAAAAGCATGAAGGGTGGGATTACATGTGACGCAGCAACAGCAGTCCCTAATCTTCACATCTGTGCTTGTTTTCTGGCAAGCTTCTTGTGCTTTACTAACTTCAAAAGTCACCTGATGCGGCTTTCCCCGAATCTGCGTCTTGGTGATAGAAACAGAACTTAAAGAAAGCTATTCTTCCTGTCATTCTCCAGACAGCTTGTCCAGCATAATAAAAAAAGTTACTTTGCCAAGTTTTGCTGCTTATAGACAAAACCATGAAACAGCACCTGTGGGTGCATCTGTACTCTTTTTTTTTGGGACCACTGTATTTGAAGACCAGAATCTGCTTTTCATCATGTGTAGTTCTGTCCTATTGTGTTGTTAAGCACTTTAAACATCTAAAGCAGAAATTCTCACCGAAAGAGACAGCAGCAGAAAACTGGATTGGGCTGTTACATGCGGGGTGGGGACAGGATAGCTCACCAGGAAAGCATAGACCCTGCATGCAGAGGGTCCTTAGTTTAATCTCCAGTTAGAACTGGCAGGTAACAAATTGGCAAAGGTTCCCCATTGCAGGAACAGTAAAAATGTGCTTGAGCTGGCCTAAAGTAGCTTTCTCTGTGTGGATGGGCAGAAAAAGAGAAGTAACAAGCAGCCTGGCAGTATAAGGTGTAAAGGTAAAAGTTTCCCCTTGACATTAAGTCTAGTCGTGTCTGACTCTGGGGGTTGGTGCTCATCTCCATTTCTAAGCCAAAGAGCCGGCATTGTCCATAGACACCTCCAAGGTCATGTGGCCGGCATGACTGCATAGCATGCCGTTACCATCCTGGCGAAGTGGTTCCTATTGATCTCACATTTGCATGTTTTCGAACTGCTAAGTTGGCAGAAGCTGGGGCTAACAATGGGAGCTCACCTCGTTCCCCAGATTTAAACCGCTGACCTTTCGATCAGCAAGTTCAGCAGCTCAGTGGTTTAACCCACTGTTCCACTGGGGGCTTTATAAATGTATGAAAGGCTAGGCATAGATGATCAATATCTATCAGGACAGTTTTAAAAGTCAGACTGAAGGAATACACCTACAGCCTTTCCAAAAGCAACATAGACCTGAGTCATCCCAAAGTGTTGGATCATATCTCCTATCATCCCTTACCATTATAGTTCAGCTAGAGCTGAACTGTAGTTCAACAACATCTGGAAGCCCACGTATTCCCAGACTCTGGTTTGAGGTATGACCCCATAAGCCTGTGATCTCCAGATGTTTCTACAACTTGGGTCCCAGTCAGCATGACCAATTCCCAGGGGTAGCAGAAGCTACTGTTCTCTCTGACTGCTGTTAGGAACCCAGTGTTTCCCAGAAGTAAAAGTGCATGTAAAACATGCCCTTGGTGTGTGTGTGTATGGGGGGTATGCTCAAAGTTTTACTGAGTCTTCAGGTGATGGATGGGAAAGATCAGTCTCCTGATTCTCGGTGCCTTATGGCCGGACCATTGGGAGGCATGATAAGACAGCTTGTTTAGCTTCAGGAGATTTCCAAGGGCAGTGGAAAGTTCTGGAGGAGAACGTGCTGGCTGCCATGTCCACTTCTTGACTGTGTTTGCAGAATGAAGCATCCTTATCTTTCAGGCATTTGTTAGAGAAACAGGAATGGGGGGAGGTGTCTTCTGATGGGCCTATTTAGAAGAGCCATAGTCTTTTCCCACTTCTGTCTTCACGTGTGTAGAGCTTGCAAAAAATGATGACCCAAACAAGCATGTTCAGGACCTTATCTAACTCCTGGACCATATTGCTGTGTGTACTGTAATTCTAAAGCAAACTTTCACAGAAACTTAGGCTATTTTTAATCCATGGGTTTTGCAAACATGGATGAACATTTGTTGTCCACTTTGGAGTGCCCCCCCCCCCAAAAAAAAACTGTAATTACCTCTTCCTCATCTTCCGGTCTTGTAATTCATTTCTCCCCCCTCCCCCCTTTCAGTAGCTTTCCCAGGTCTTAGTAAATTTCACTTTCCATTACCTCTCCTTTTAAAGTTGCATAAATGTGCAATTAAACACACATACTTTATTTTCATGTGGTTCTCCTTTTATTGTTCTAAAAGCTCATTTATGTGCATGGAAGTCCTACAAGATCCTCAACCTTATGGCCTATTGTGAATGCTAGCCACAAGGAAAGGAAGATAAAGAACCACTTGGCTAACTCTAAAAGCTTTCATCTTGATCCCACCGGGACTGAGGACTACAGCTTCCTCAGTCTTCAAGGTAGTATGGCAAATGCCCTTGTTCACTGGGGGGATTATGGGACTTCTAGTCAAAAATGCCATTTTTTTCCAAGCTCTAATCCTACCCCAAAATTTGAATGGGCCTATTTCTCACTCATGGGTTTCCCATCACCATAGTTTGTCATGCATACCTCTACAAACCACCAAATGTATATGTCCAGAGAAAAACTGAGTAATACAATCATTAAACATCAATGTATATTTTTCCTTTTTTTCCGTGTCAGAAGTGACTTGAGAAACTGCAATTCTCTCACTCTCTGGTGTGAGAGAATTGACTGTCTGCAAGAATGTTGTTCAGGAGACTACCGGATGTTTTTTTGAAGTTTTACCATCCTTGTGGGAGGCTTCTCTCATGTCCCCGCATAGAAAGCTGGAGCTGACAGAGGGAGTTCATCCATGCTCTCCCCAGATTTGAACCTCTGACCTGTCAGTCTTCAGTCCTGCCAGCACAAGGATTTTACCCATTGCACCACCAGGGGCTCTTTATTTACTGCTTTGTTATGAATGCTCACACAACCACGAACTTCTATGGTAGTTAGCCTCCTTTCTCAGAAGTCTTCAGAATGATGAAGATTCATTGGAAATAATTGTTTCAATACGTTTTATTATCAACTTGGTTTCCAGTTGATAAAAATCATTATGGCAAAAGATATAGATGAACAGATAGAGAAATAGATTCATACACATGATACAGATAAAAGTACATCATATGGAATTCAAGAAAGAGCCATGTGCAAATACTAAAGGCTGAGAGCAAATACAAACACAGAGCTTGGGGATGTTTCTTTGTGAATCACTTTCCCCGGCATCCCATAGTCAGAAGCCATGATGGCTGGGTATTGAAATCTAAGAAGTAGATTCCCCACGGTACCCCTTCATTACTTGCTTTTTGTGTCACACTTAAAATAGCAGGGTAGAGTTGTATATCAGCTGGCTTACATGGTCTACATCTGCACTGCAGTTGGACAACACTTTAGAGTTATAGCTTGATGAGGTACCAGCACTCTTTGGAAAAAAACTAAAGACCTTGCAAAACTGAAACATGAATCCATATCATCGAGCCATGGCAATTAAGATGAGGTCAAACTACACAACCTGACAGGGTAGGTGCAACTATGGTCAGGAGTGCCACAACCTTCATTTGGAGTAGCTGCTGAATTTCTTCTCCTCCTGCATCTCCTCCAAGCACAGAGAAAGGAAAGCCGAGGAGAGCTCCTGGCCCGGCCCCTGTCCGGCCCCTTTGGCCTATTGTCTCAGCCCTGCCAGGAAACTCTGATTCCCAGCCCACTAGGAGAGCTATGTCAAGAATGTCCAGGCGGAGTAAAGCTGGTGGCGCCATGCCAGGCCCTGCTGAGACACATCCCCAGCGCCAATGCCAGCACACACCCCTCTCCTCTCCCTTGGCGT